ATCTCAATCTCTTCACCATCCATCCTGATGCTGCCAATTGGTCCAGTGTTGAGAATCTTTGTCTTCTTGACATTGAGCCTCAATCCATATTGAAGGCTGCACTCCTTGACCCTCTGCAGCAAGCGCTTCAGGTCCTCCTCAAGTTTCAGCAAGCAGGGTTGTGTCATCTGCATAACGCAGATTGTCCACCAATCTTGACCCCACATTTTTCCCCATAGAGCCGAGTCTCCTGGATAATCTGTTCTGCATACAGCTTGAAAAGGTATGGAGATAGGACACATCCCTGGCGTACGCTTCCCAATTTTGAACCATGCAGTGTTTCTTTGCTCTGTTCTGACAACTGCCTCTTGGTCCAAGTATGGGTTTCTCATTAGCACAATTAAGTGTTCTGGGATTCCCATTCTGCTCAGAGTCAGCCACAGTTTGTTATGATCCACACAGTCGGATGTCTTTGTATAATCAATGAAGCATAGATAGACATTCCTCAGGTAATCCCTGCTTTCAGCTAAGATCCATCTAACACTAGCTACAATATCCCTAGTACCTCCTCTAAATCCATCCTGGATTTCTGGCAGTTCTCTGCTGATGTGCTGTTCCAGTCGTTTTTGGATAATCGAGACTCTTAAAACTGCAGTAGAACATTAAGGATCCAAAACAAGGGAAGAAATGCTGAAGTAAAAAAGCTGAACAGATGATTACAACTGCAACTAGTACAAAATCTACTTCACAGCAGTGTTTAAACTAATGTTTGATCAAAACCTTGGATATTCTGACATAGCTAAGTTAACATGTAAAAATAGTCATCACAAAATATTTCACTTGTGACGACCGTCTTACAAATAAAAAAGGAAAATTAATCAGTGAGAGAACATCTTTATTTTTGAAAGTAAAATATGGACTTTTGGGTCAAGAAACTACAGTTCAAAGTTTGTGCTAAAATGTAGTATTTGGAAATAGTTCCTTTTAGTGAGTTTTCTGTTTTACACATTTATGGAAAACTGTTATATGTTTAAACTATTTAATCAATGAAATTTATTATTACTACTTATATTTTTATGTATTATGAAAGTTTAAATATCAAATAAAGTGAACAAAAGAATTCTTTTTAATGGTGATAAGCAGTGGCCTAATGGCAAGAAGCTATATTATAATTTCAAAGGCACGAAGTTTGATTCCATCAGCTGCTCTGCAGAAGAAAGATGAGTAATCTCCTCCCTTGAGATTAACTCTCTATGAAAACCCCTGGAGGGTCAGCTATGGGTGGGTTCCAACTTGACGGTACACAACAACAAGAACAAGCAGTATGTAAAAGTATTATACAAGATCTCAAGTGTAAGTCTAGCAGCATCAAATGTGTGAGAATAATGTCATTGAAAGAAAGCTTCAAGTCAACAAAGACTTTCAAAACCATATATTCAGTTATGAAATTAATCTTCCTTTTTTGGAAAAGAATTTACTTTGGCTTATAACTGTAAGCCTACATACTCTGAAATAGCATTTAGGTACTAGACACAATGCAGAATAAATGGGAAGATGTTAATAATCATAAATCTTACCTGACAATTCCTACAGCATGGTCCTGTAACACATTCTGCTCCTGCTTTCGGTGTACAAGTTTTAGCATCACAACAGGCATTTGTACATGTCTATGAATAAGTGTAATAGACAAATAAAAAATAGATAATAATAAAAATTATAGTAATACATATATTTCCAGTAGTTATTTTTTTATATTTGGAAAAACAAATGAATGCTGCTGGAGTTTTGAGATTTCATCATTTCTAAACAATTTAAAGGAAGTACTACTGGTGGCCTAGCAGTAAGGAGTTGCTCTACTAACCTAAAGACTGATGGTTCAAATCCACCAACTCTGTGGGAGAAAAAAAAAACCAATTTCTTCTTGCGTGACTTACAACCTCTCAAAATCCAACAACAACAAGAAAATTAAGGGAGCTCTAGTGATGTAATTCATAGAGAGTTTGCACTACTGACCCAAAGGCTATGCAGAGAAAGACTGCAAGTTCATTCTGTTACAATTTAAAACCTCAGAAATAAACTCAATAGAAAGTCTATCTAAGTCTTCTGAACAGAATTGATGGCAATGAATGAAACAATTTTAATAGTAATTCAAGACTTCTATGCTGGTGGCACATTTTCACTTTTACTCAGAAAACTGGGAAAAATACATGAAAATTTTTTCCCAAAATGGGATAATAATCAAAGCAGGATTTCTTAAAGAAAGAAACTAAGAAATCCCTAAATTACTAATTTTCTCTCTAGAAGTGTTTGTCCCAAACAAGCAAGACACAATGTCACTAACTAATGTGAGAGGGTAGAGAGGTATAACTAACGTGAGAAGGCAGAGAATGGGAGTTTGTAGTTGTTGAATTATTACTGTTGTTATTATGTGCCATCAAGGAGAGTTTGACTTATAACAACCCTGTGAACAACAGATTTGAACTGTGTCCTCTCGTGCCATCCTCATCATCTCAGACAACTTTAGTTCATTGCTGTAGTCATTGTGTCAATCCTTCTTATTGAGGGTCTTCCTGACCTTCCAACTTTGCAAGCTTAATGTTCTTTTCCAAGGAATAGTCTCTCCAAGCAATATGTTCAAAGTATCTGAAATGAAGTTTTATCATCCTTGCTTCTACAGAGCACTCTGGCTGCACCTTCTCCAAGATACAACTCTTTGGCTTCTTGGCAGTCCATGGACTATTCAATACTCTTTTCTACCACAACTCAAAAATAGTGATTATTCTTATATCATTCATTGTCTAGCTCTCAGTGTATAAGAAGCCATGTAAAGAAATAGCTTTACAATTATGATTTGGGCTCACCTTAAGCCTATATATGAGTTGTATACATATAGCAAAAGAAAAAATGTATACATATAGCAAAAGAAAAAAATAACTGCCAGGGTGCTGAAAGATGAAAAATCTGCACATGTTTGGACTAAGAAATATTTGAATGCTGACTACCCAGAAGAGAGTCCTCAATGAACAGTAGTTAGTGTGTTTGGTAAATACTTGGAAGATTTTCTTTAATACAGGCTGAAACTAGGAAAAAGTTACCTTAAAATAAAAGTCTCAAAGAGACTTGAAAACTTCAAAGATAATCTTCAAAAAAAGCAAACTAGTCAAATAACTCAAATGTGGCCAGAACTTACTCTTTAAAGGAGAACAGATAAATTTGAACACTGAAACAGAATAGTTGAGGAAGCTAGTATTCAAATTTTTAAATCACTCATAATAAAAAACAAAAGCTTTATTGTCCATAACCAAAGGGAGAAATCTAATAGAACAAAATTCATAAAGTACAGAAATGAAAAACTTAACAGGGAAGATTGTAAAACAGTTGCTATAAATGTGTTTAAGGATTTTAGGTAAAACATAAACAGCGAGAAAGAATAAAAACTAAACAGAATTCATAGAACTGAAAGATACAAGATACAAGACCTAAAATGGGGGGGGAGGGGGTAACCTATAGGGTCACTATAACGCTGAGTACTGAGTGAATTTTCATTTCATTTTCTCACAATATAACCAGGGACATTCTCGCTGTCAGTAAAGTCTGAGCTGACACACAGCTGATCCTACATAGGGTTTCTGAAGTTAGAATAAGAGAAGACTCTTCATCTTTCTCCTGTGGAGGCACTGGTAGATTAGATCTGCCAGAGAGCTGCATGGCCTTTAGACTATCCATGCAATTCAATATGAAAAATGCCAACAAAGCTCTATAAATAGCATATACTCAAATACTTTATACATACAAAAGACAACAACAAGAAGACTACTGCTACTGAGTCACTTTTGACTCACAAGGAATTTGCAGGACAGAGTAGAAATTCTCCATTGGTTTTCCAAGGCTATAAATCTTTATAGAAGTAGATTGTCTCATTTTTCTTCCAAGCAAGCAGTTGATGAAGTTAAACAGTTGACCATTTGGTTAGCAATTCAATACTCAAGCCATGATACTAACAGGTCTCCCCCACAGAAAATTATGAATAATAAATAATCTTATTTCTCTTTTACTTGATTCAGGATCTATAGTAATATTCCTGCTTTCACCCTATCATACAACTTTACTCATATCACATGCCAGCAAAATCCTGTTGAAGATTTTCTAGAAACTGGAACAGTGCATTGACAGATAACTACCAGAAATACAAGTTGATTTGAGCTGTATATGAGGAATCAAATCAACTACATCTGTGGAAGGACATTAGTGATAATGTCTCTAGTGTCACGGCGTGTAGACTTCTTTCATCTTCTTTTCATACTTCTTGGATCTTTCAATATTCTACCCATAACATCCTTAAATATTGCAACTCAAGGCATAAATTTGTTCTCTAGTTTGGAAAACATGGACTTAGTGACAGAAATGAGGCTGAAAATAGAATGATAGAATTCTTCACAATGAATGATTTATTTATAGCGTATATCTTTATAAGAACCATAAACACAGAATATAAACACTGATTTCACCTGATGGTATGCACAGGAATGAGACTGGTTACATCTGTGAAAGGAATCGTTGGAGAAGTTCAATATCAGTAGTGAAAATTAGGACAGATACTGATTGTGAATCAGCTACTCATGTGCAAGTTAAAATAAAAGATAAACAAAGTCAAATCAAATGCACAGAAATCAAAATTTGGAGTCCCGATCGCGGGCTCGGAGAAGTTCCAGTGGCGGTGGCGCCGGTGACGACGATGACAGCCGGAGCGGATTCTGGCCTTGTTGCTCACCATGCCGACGGTGGAGGAACTTTACCGCAATTATGGCATCTTGGCCGATGCCATGGAACAAGAGGGCCAGCATAAAGATTCCTATCAAGTAATACTGGATGGTGTGAAAGGTGGTACTAAGGAGAAAAGATTAGCAGCTCAATTTATTCCAAAATTCTTCAAGCATTTTCCCGAATTGGCTGATTCAGCTTTCGATGCACAGTTAGACCTCTGTGAGGATGAAGATGTATCGATTCGAAGCCAAGCAATTAAGGAACTGCTTCAGTTTGCCACTGGAGAAAATCTTCCCCGATTAGCAGACATACTAACCCAGCTTCTGCGGACAGATGACTCTGCAGAATTTAACTTAGTGAATAACGCCCTATTAAGTATATTTAAGATGGATGCAAAAGGGACTTTAGGAGGCTTGTTCAGCCAGATACTTTAAGGAGAAGATACTGTCAAGAGAACGAGCAATGAAATTCCTTTCCACCAAACTTAAGATTCTGCCTGATGAAGTTCTAACAAAGGAAGTAGAGGAGCTGATACTAACTGAATCAAAAAAGGTCCTTGACGATGTGACAGGTGAAGAATTTGTTCTGTTCATGAAGATACTATCAGGGTTAAAAAGCTTACAGACAGCGAGTGGCAGGCAGCAACTTGTGGAGTTGGTAGCCGAGCAGGCTGACCTGGAGCAGACCTTCAATCCCTCAGATCCCAACGGCGTGGACCGACTCCTGCAGGGTACTCACCAGGCAGTGACCCTCTTCTCTAAAAATGTTCATTCTACAAAATTTGTGACTCACTTCTGTGAGCAGGTTCTTCCTAACCTCAGTTCCTTGACTACCCCTGTGGAGGGTCTTGACATACAATTGGAGGTATTGAAACTGTTGGCAGAGATGAGCTCATTCTGTGGTGACATGGAAAAGCTAGAGACAAATTTAAGAAAACTGTTCAATAAGTTGTTGGAGTACATGCCTCTCCCACCAGAAGAAGCGGAAAATGGAGAGAACACTGGCAATGAAGAACTTAAGCTGCAGTTCAGTTGCGTGGAATGTCTGTTATACAGCTTTCACCAGTTGGGCCGGAAACTTCCAGATTTCCTAACAGCCAAACTGAATGCAGAAAAGCTCAAAGATTTCAAAATCAGGCTTCAGCACGAGGCCTGCAGGTTTATATCAGACAACTTCGCTTAGCTCTGCAGGGGAAACAGGAGAGGCCTTAGAGACAGAAATCAAAATTTGATCTTAAGTCTATTTCACCTAAATTTTAAAACCAACTCAGGAATAAGTTTGAGGCCTTGAACACTAATGACCAAAGATCAGATGAGCTGTGGGTGGATATCAAGAGTGTCATCCATAAAGAATCCAAAAGATCATTACAAAGTCAGAAGAAGAAGAAAAGACCAAAACGGACTCTGAATACTGCACTAAAGCGCTGAGAAACCAAAGCAAAGGGAAGAAATCAAGACATTAAGAAGCTGAATAGATTATTTCAAAAGGAAGACAAAGGAAATGTGTAATGAAAAGTGTAAAGAACTGGAGTTCAAAAATAAAGAGGGCTATGCTTGCTCATATTGGTATACCATCTATTCCTGGGGCCTTTTTTTTGCTATTTCCTTCAAATCAGGTTGAACTTCTTCCTTCATCACCATAGGCTTTTGCTCATATGCTGTTTCATTAAATTCTTCTGAGTCTGCCAATTCCTTTTGATACAATGACTCAGTATATTCTTTCCATCTTCTTTTGATACCTCCTGGATCATTTAATACTCTGCCTAACACATCCTTGATTATAGCAACTGAGGTTTGAATTTGTTCTTCAGTTCCTTGAGCTTAAGAAATGCTGAGCGAGTTCAACCATTTTGGTTTTCTGACTCCAGCTCCTTTCTTGCACATTTTATTGTAATATTTTACTC